GGGGCCAGGTCAGAGTCTCACTCTGCTGTATGGTGCAGTCACTGTGAGTAAGAACCAACTCAAAGACACCTAACAACAACTGAGAGTCTTAATCTCCAAAACAATCCTACAGTGTAGTTATTAAGATTATGATGAGAAAACAGAAGGGCAGAAAGCTTAAGAAATTTGCCCAAAATAGCATAACCGGTAAACAGAAGAGGCAGGATTCAAACCCAGATCTTATCCTGGAATCCACTCACCCTAGTATGGCAGTAACACTAAAACAAAAATCTACAAACTCTGTACTTGAGAATAATCGACACACTAAAAACAACTCATTGCAGTAATCAACATGGTGGCACTAAAGAAGAGGAAGACATAAGAGAGTTGTACGGGAGGTACAAACAAAATGAACCCTTTTGCACATATGGGTGGAAAATGGGTGCACAGGCTGAACTATTAGGTATGTCCATGCAGGGGGGAGTGTGCCAAGACCATGTACAGGGTTGGCAGACAATGCTTCTACAAGTGTATTGGTATGTTAAGAATTCCCAGGTATATAGTAGAGCTGACAAGGAACAAGGTTGTAGTCACTTCTTGGTCACAGCCAGCTACCTACAGAGAGTGAGTAGTTGCACCTGTGGGCTAGAAACCATAGTCACAGGAGACACCAAGCTCAACTGGCATAACATACTACACAAAAGCATTGTTCCACATCCTACTTTGGTGAATAGCAACTGGCATCTTAAAAGCTTGCAGATGGCCATCTAGATGCAACAATGGGTCTTTCCTCGTCCAGAGCAAAGAAGAATGAGGAAAACAAAAGAGGCATGGAAACAATTAGTCCAAGCAACTGGTACATCACGTGATCCTCAGCCTATACAACTATGAGACCAGAAGAACTAGATGGTGCCCAGCTACAACTGTCAACCACTTGGAGGGGGATCTATGTAGGAGATCCTGGATAGAGTGAGAGAACAATGTGTAAAAAAAACTCAAAATTATTAAAAAAAAAACGACAAGGTTTGCTGGTCTGACAGAGCTTGATGGAACCACTGAGACTATGGCCCCTATTTGCCCTTTAGGCCTGGAACTGAACCTATACCTGTGGCTTCCAGTCAAACAAAAGACAGGCATATGAGCTGAACATTTACATTAGATAGATACACTCCTTGGACAGAATAATCATGGGAGAATAGAAGGGCTGTGTATGTACAGTGAGACAGCTCAGGGGGCAGGTGTGCATGGAACGAAGGACACAGGGAAGAGGTAACTCTCAGGAGGATGTGGGAGGAGAGCTGTTGCACTATGGGAAATTCCAGTCAACGTCACGAAACAAAGTGTACGTAAGCTGCTATATGGAAAGTGAATTTGCTCTGTAAACTTTCACCCAAATCACAAAATTTAAAAAGAAAAATAAAAACACCTCATTGCAAATTATAAAGATAGCTAACCAAGACTTTTCTTGAAAAAAGTAATAATTGACATAAACTAGCAAAATTCTACCAAAAAGGTAAAATGATTATTTACAATGAATAATATTAGCATTTTATTTTATGATTATTCTTTTAATTTTAAACCTTGGAACTCAAGCAACATTGAGATTCTCACTTTAGAAGACTTCTATAGATAGAGTTCTATAGAGACTAGAGACTTACAAACAACCTAAAGAATGTTGAAAACCAACCCATTTTGGAAAGGGGCTATTTTTATATACATGTTACTTGTCATAAGATGAAAGATGATACAAAACCAATACCAAACTCAGTGCCATCGAGTTGGATTTGACTCATGACTCATAGCGACCCCTCCTTGGGTTTTTGAGGCGGAATCACTGGGGAAGTAGACTGCCCAACCTTCCTTCTGAGGAGTGGCTGGTGGGTTTGAACTGCAAGCCTTCTGGTTAGCAGTCAAATGCCTTAGGCACTACGCCACCAGAGGTCCCATAAAATAGTAACAAAGAAATAAAAATCTTCATAATTAGAGGCATACCGCAGAGATACTGGGGTTCAATTCCAGACCACTGCAATAAAGTTAAGAATCACAATAAAGCGAGTTGCATGAATTTTTCTGGTTTCCTGGTGCATGTTATGTTTACACTATATGTCTATACTATATTGCAGTGTATTAAGTATACAATAGTATTATGAAAAAGTTTGAAATATTTTAAGAATTGCCAAAACGTGACACAGGGACATGAAGTGAGCACATGCTGTTGGAAAAATGGTGCTGAGAGACTTGCTCAACGCAAGGTTGCCACAAGCCTTCAATGTGCAAAACACGCAACCCATG